TGGGAAGAGGCTGCCGTTCATCAGCATGAAGAATCAGTTGGAAGGGCAGGTCTGGAGTACCAGAGGCACTGAGCCCCATGGAGCTCAGACCTCATCTTTGGTAAGTGTGGGCTTTGTAACATTCCGTTAAACTGAAGTAGGACCTGTGTGCAATGGGTGTCTCATTCACTCCATGGTATTTGCTCACTCCACACAGAGAAGGTGAACTTCACCTCCTTGGCGAGCCTCCCAGGCAGCTCAGTGTGATTTCCCACTCCTGCTCAGGGCATTGCTTCACCGCAGCAACATGGGCTCGGGAGTCAGACAAATCAGGCTTCAACTCCCCCGGCAGCCTGTGGGAGCTCGGGCAAGTCCAACTGCTCTGAGCCCCCATTTCCTCATCTGCAGAGTGGGGATAAGCAAAGTAGCCGCCTGCAAAGGTCGTTATTGGGCTTAGGGTTATTGTATCCTCTGGAATTGGCCCCTCTGTCATGACGAAATGGCCATGGCAGCGTTCTTGGCTCTGAAATCCATTTTGTCTGATATGAAGTCACTCAGCTCTCCTTTGAGGAGTGTGTGCATGGCATCTCTTTTTCCACCTTTTTTACTTTTAACCTCTTTGTGTCTTTCAATTCGAAGTGCGTTTCTTGGAGGCATACAGTTTGGTCTTGCTTTTCTATCCAGTCTGGGCAAGCTCTGCCTTTTAATTGGGGTATTTGCATTTAAAGCGTTTTTGAACACGGTTTGGCTTACATCTACCATATGGCTGTTTGTTTTCTATTTGAACAATCTCTTCATTCTCTGCTACTTCTTTTCCTGCCTTCTTTTGGATTGATTTAGGATTGCTGGATTCCATTTTAACTCCTTTGTTGGCCGATTAGCTATAACTCTTCATTCTTTTAGTGGCGGCTTTAGGGTTTATAGTATAAATCTTCAACTTCCCACGGTCAGTCTCCTTCCAGGTGACGTGATACCTCCCTTCCGGCCTTTATGTGATTATTGTCACACATTTTACTTCTACCTATGTTGTAAACCTCACTCTACATGATTATTATTTTTTGTTGAGAGAGTCCATTACCTTTTAAAGAGATTTAAACACTAGGACAAATCTTCTACGTTGGCCCAGAAAGTTACCATTTTTGGCACTTTTCATTGCTTTGTGCAGATCTACGTTTCTATCTTATATCATTTCCCTCTGTGTGAGGAACTTCCTCTAATATTTCTTATAGTGAAAGTCCCCTGGTGATGAATCCTTTCAACTTCGCCAAGTCTGACTACATCTTTATTATACCTTTTTTTTTGAAATATACTTTCGCTGAGTATAGAACTTTATCTTTTTTTTTTTTTCCTTTAGTACTTTTTAAAATGGTGGTCCAGGGGCGCCTGGGTGGCTCAGTCGGTTGGGCGTCCGACTTCAGCTCAGGTCATGATCTCGCGGTCCATGAGTTCAAGCCCCGCGTCGGGCTCTGGGCTGACAGCTCAGAGCCTGGAGCCTGCTTCCGATTCTGTGTCTCCCTCTCTCTCTGACCCTCCCCCGTTCATGCTCTGTCTCTCCCTGTCTCAAAAATTAGTAAACATTAAAAAAAATTAAAAAAATAAATAAATAAAATGGTGGTCCACTATCTTCTTGCTTGTAATTTTTTTCCGGTGAGAAATCTGCTATCAACCTTTATCTTTGTTCTTTTATACATAACATTTCTTTTTTTCTTAGGCTGACCCTTAAGGTATTCCAGACTGGCCTGTGGGAAAAGGCACTATTCTCAGTCCCATGTGAGGACCTTATACCTCTCCCTCCGTTCCTTCCACATGATTCTTTCCCTCACACACATGCAATAATCAGTGCTCAGCTGAATGGTCAAAGGGGACCACTGCAGACGCCTGAATTCTCTCTCTGACTGACCAGTTCTCTTCTGTCCCCTACCCTGTTCTGTGAATTCCAGATGCTTTGGTTTCCCTGGAATCTCAGCATCTTCAAATCGGGGAGTTCGCTGCGCTCTGCCTCGGCTGCCCCACCTAAGGGATGGTGTGGAAACTCTCTCAAAGCAGTAAAATTGGGGCAAATGTAGGGCTCATCTGGTGCCTTTCCTTACTGTCAGAGATCACTGTCCCTCACTGCCTGATGTCCAGTGTCTTGAAAACCATATAGTTCACATATATCGTCCACCTTCTGGCTGTTTCAGTCAGAAGGGTATACATGCCACATGGAACTTCAACCTGGTTGGAGCAGGAGCCCCCAAATGCTCATTTCGCAGAATCGTAGGGTCACCCAATTCCATGCACAGCACACAGTGTCCCCCCTCACATCATCTGGGCCTCAGGATAGGGAACGTGTACCTACTACACTGCTCTACACACAGAGACGGAACTTAGAAATACTTAGCAATGACTCCTAATCAGCAGTTGTTAAGGCAATGGTGTGCTTGCACGAACAGGAATTATGAAAATTCCAATCAGTATTGTTCACTTGATCTAATTGTGGGGAAAAAAATGGTATGAAATGTCATTCATGTCAGGCTTTATGCACAAAAAGTGACAGACTACGCTTCCACCCGTGCTCTGCATTTGTCTACTTCATTGCTAAAAATGTTCTTTTCGCAACTAAATGTCACTCTTGCAACATTCAACCTATCACCCAAAGAAAGCAACAATTGCTGAGATTCCTGTAGAAAGAGCCAACCTGAGACCTTCTCATGGTTTCCTGACACACAGTGATAATATTATTAAAGGAGACCACCAAGTGCTATGGATATTAAATGTGGAGAGAAAGAACTTCAGAACCCACACATTTGCACACAACAGTTTAAGAGCAACCGTGCAGGGATGGTGAACTCTCTCCTAGGCCAAACGTTGGAGGCCGCTGGGTCTTGAATCTTCCCCTCAGTCCCCAGAAAAGCCAAGCAGACAGGAAGAACTGATCACTTTTGTAAGTGTCAATGCTTGGGAGACATTACAATAGCCTTTTTCTCTTTCCCATTTGCAAATACATAATCTTAAATCCCAAAGAGCCAAATTAGTAACATTCCAGTGAAACGAAATTATCAGAGATAATGAATGCACAGGGCAACAGTTCAATCAACGAATCTGTCTGTTCATCATCCTATTTGCCATCAGTCCGTCTGCCCCTCAGTCCAGCTGCCCATCATTCTGTCTGTCCTTCAGGTCATCCAGTAGGTTATGAAGGCCCAGGGGCCGAAGGCCACTGGGCATGTCGGCCTATGAAATGCATCAAAGGGAATGAGCCAAGGGAGGAAGACTAGAAGACCACAGGTGGTTTTGAGCACACCCTCGGGTTGAGTCACCTGTCGGAAGCCACAATATCTGCATCTGCTCAACACTCCCAGCAGAGCCCTAACCCTCCCCTGTGTGGGCTACCTCTGCCTGAGGGGGCAGGGGGTCACTTCCGGTCTTACCTCCCACCTGCTAACCTAAATTTTCTTGAACAATCCCTGTTCAAAGAGACAGCCACCTCCCTGGAGCTACAGGTGGAAACCGGCCATGTGGCAGGAGGCTTCCACCTTGTCGGGTCACTAAGGAATGTCACAATGAGCCACTGCACCTAGCTGCCTCAGAGGACCTCGGCTCCTGGTCCAGCTGTGCCCCAGTGCCAGCTGTTATTCTGTTCTCCATTCTCTTTCTTTCCACGTGGACTCCCACACAACAGCCCCACAGGAGCAAAGCAAGCATGCCCGTCACCAATGTCACCACCACCACCATCGTGGACAGAGTGCACACCTACCTAACTGAGGCCTCCCTGCATCACGGGCACATCTTTACTTGGCTACCTTAAGAGAAATGATTACACTGGCTCTCAGAGGAGAGAACGCAGGAGGCTCTCATTCCCATCCACATGGTTCGTGTGGGACAAACCCTGGGGCTCTGCCTATTGTGAAGGTCCAGCCCTTCCTCACCTTGCTCCTTACCCCTCCAGAGGCCCCAGCTCTGATACACAGAGGCAGGGTGACAGGCTTTCTGGAAACTTAGCCTTTCCCTTTTGTTTCCCACCAACGTCCTTAACTTGCTCTTGAGCCCTTCGTTCTCACTGAGGCCAAAACTCTTCCTCTTCCTTCCCCTGCAAGTTCAGAGCTGCCGTCTGTAGGCCAATACTCAGCCAGATTCAGGATTAAACTCAGGCCAAAAACCCAGCAGGGGCTCCCTGTCCCCTCCTTCCTCCAGGAAGTGTCTTTTGGAGGCTCCAGCAGCACCTGCATCCTTCCCGCACGTGGAGGAAGCAACGCAGCCCCTGGGGGTCGCCAATGCAGGGCTGTCATCTGGGGATAAACCCCAGGCGCCACCGCAGCTGATGCCCCGAGCCCTGCCATGCCACCGTGTCACAGGTCCACAACCCCACACCACACCTGCCATGCCTTCACACACACCCCGTGGGTCCCCCTTCTCCCCAGCTCTGAGCACCCATAGGGTTGCAGAGACTCCCCATCTCCTGTTTGTTTCCCCGAACCTTGCGGGCACCTGTGCTCTCAGGGTTGTGGGGGGATTGGGCACAGATTCTAGCTGTTCTCAACGTCCCCCTCAACTCTCCAAAGACTCCTACTGACACTTCTCAACACCTCGTGCCCCTCACTGCACAATCCAGGCTGAGGCCCAGGGCTGGGGACACACTAAGCAGTCTCCAAATGCTCGGCACATCCCGGTCTGCCTTCTTCCCCGGGGCTGGACAGCCCCGAGGTCATTTCCTGTATCCTCCGCAAGGGGGATTTCAAACACTGGAGCGGTGCTTTCATCAGCCGACCCTCATTGGCCCTTTCCCATACTGTCCACAACGGCCAGCGCAAGTTTAACGATATATAGACTGCGGGCCTCCACGGGCCAGGCCATCCGGCCAGCGTTTTACAATTACCGTCCGCACCAGTCCTCGCAGCAGGGTAGGGGGCGGACACGCGTGATGCACCCCGGGTCACCCGGGCTCTGGGTTTCCGCCCGGCTCCGAAGCCGATGCTCCGCTCGCTGGCGCACAGGGCTGGCCTGGCACGCACGCTGCAGCAGGGGGGACCTGCGGGGCTCACCATGCCTCCTGTGCACTCGGGGCAGTCCTGCAGTCAGCCGACGTTCTCCCACGTACTGTAGGCCTTCAGCCCCGCCACCAGAGCCTGCAAGGGGCGACTGTCCACGAGCTCCTTCCCACGGAAGACGTCCTTGTCCAGGAGGCCCCCGGCAGACCTGCGAGAGGAGCGCAGGCCTGTGATGGAAGCAGCAGCCCCGCCCACCACCACGGCACCACGGCGCAGGCGCGTCTGAGGCCGGGCGCAGGTGCCACCTGCTCCTTCCTCAAGACGCTCCCGAAGGTTCCATGTGCCCTTCAGAACTGTCACCCTGCACCCTGCCACCGTGAGGCTGCACCACGCCACCTCTCCTGGGAAATCTCCCTTGCCTTCTGTCCAGGTTCACTTTCCTGCCGGTCCCTCAGAGGCCCCATGGTTCACACTGACGTTTGTCTTCGCACCCCTAGACCCCACGAAAAGCAGGCACTCGGTTTCACGCTCTCCCTGTTTTGGTCTACCATATAGGATCATATTCCAAACCACCTCCCTCTGCCCTTCACACACAAAAGTTTTACACGTCTCTCGTATTTTTAATTTGTCTAATGCTACTGCCACTGAACGTGCGCTGGGTGGAATAAATAATGCCCCCCCCCAAGATGTCCACGTCCTCGTCCCTGAAACCTGGAGTACGTTACCCCCACGTGGCAGAAGGGATTTTTCACTTGCGATTAAATCAAGGATCTTGCGCTCGCTCGGAAGATCATCCTGGATTATCCAGGGGAGCCCACTGTAATCACGAGGTTCCTTATAAGTAAGAGGGAGGCCAGAGAAGAAGATGTGACAACTAAGCAGTCAGGGAGACGCAGCGAGAGACTCGACTGGCCATTGCTGGTTTTGAAACGGGGGAAAGGGCCATGAGCCAAGTAATGAGGTGGCTTCCAGAAGCTAGAAAAGGCAAGGAAGCAGATTCTCCCCCTAGAGTCTCCGGAAGGAGTGCAGCCTGCTAGCGCTTTGATTTTTCATGGAGACCCACTCCAGACTTCTGATCTCCAGAGCTACAACAAATTTGTGTTATTTTAAGCCACCAAGTTTGGGCAATTTGTTTTAGTGCCGATAGGTATACAGAAATGAATAATTTCTTCCTTCAAAGTGGTAAAAGTCACTGTTTCCCTTCACCTCTCAGCCACCTGTGGCCACAAGTGCTGCACAGTGCAATGTCTATGCGCCTCCCTCCATCTGCACACCTCCCCCTCAGGTTTTCTTCTTTGTCATATTTCAAAATGCTGTAATGGAGAGTATAGGTTCCCCTCTCTCTCCCTTCTGAACACCTTCCTATTGACCTGTTTTTAAAGTCTCTTAAAATGAGTTATTGTTTGTAACAACTGCTGGGAACAAAATCCTCAGTGAACTCTTTCTCTCTATGCTCAACCAAACTCCAGGACCTAAAGTCAAGTGTGGTAAACACACTGGGGTGGGTACTTTCCTCTAAGCACCTCAAACTCATGGAAAGTACCATGAAGTATGGCCTTACTGGTCTTCTCAACTGAAGCCCCAGACTCAGGAGATTGATAAGAGTGTTTGCCGTTAGACGTGATGATTCATTGTTTTCTATCAACTGAGTGTCATCTGTTGAGATACTTACATGGTGTTTCTCCTTTATAAGGTGACTATGGTAAATCATACAAATTGACTTTCAAATGTTACACAAACCTAACACTCCTAGGATAAACCCCACGTTTGCTATATATTATTTTACAGTAAAATATACGGATCTACTAACATTTTGTTCACAAGGGATATTAGTCTCACAGTGTCTTTGTCTGGTGTTTGATGTCAGGGTGATACTCCTAAAGTGAGTTAGAAAGGTTTCCCTTCTCTTTCATTTTCTGAAGGAGTTTGTGTAAAGTTAGTATGTTTTATTTTCTTAAGTATTTGGTAGATTTCACCAGCAATGCCAGATGAAGCTATTCAGATTTTTCAGTTCTTTCTGAGTCACTTTTAGTAACATGTATCTTTCATGAAATTTTCTATTTCCTATCTGTTGTCAAACATATTGGCATTACATTGACATGACACCAATAATAATAATAATATTTAATTTTATCCTTTCAGCGTCTGTAGGATGTGTAGTGATGTCATCTCATTTATTTCAGATCCTGACCATTTGTCTCTTTTTGTCTTAATTAATCTAGCTGAAGGTTTATCAATTTTATCTATCTTTTGAAAGAAAAAAATAATTTTTGGCTTAATTAGGTTTATTTTTGGCTATTTCTTCTTTCAAAGGCTTCTCTCATTTTTCTTATTCTTTGTGCTTACTTTGAATTTGATTTGATCCTTTTTTTTCTAACTTCTTGCAATGGAAATTTATACCATTGGTTTTCCACCTTTCTTTTTTTCTTTCTTTTTTTTTTTTTTTTAAGTAGCCTCCACGCCCAGTGTGGAGGCCAACTCAGACTTTAAAGTCATGACCCTGAGATCAAGACCTGAGCTGAGATCAAGAGGTGGGTGCTTAACTGACTGAGCCACTCTCAAATGACAGGTGCCCCTCTACCTTTCTTCTTTTCTAATGTAAGTATTTAAATGATAAATTTTTGTCTAAGCACTGCGTTAGCTGTGTACCACATATTCTGATATGTTCTGTTTCATTTTCATTTTGTTCAAAATATTTTCTGATTTCCCTGTGATTTCTTTTTTGACCTATAAAGTATGTGTGTTGTCTAATTTCCTAATGTATGGAATTATTCCAGATGTTTTCATTATTAATTTCCAATTTAATTTCATTATAATCAGAAAACATATTTTGCATGATTTCAATCCTTTACATTTACATGGTCTGTCTTAATAAATGTTCTATGTGTACTCGAAAAGAATAGACATTTTCTCAAAGAAAGACAGATGGCTAACTACCATGAAAATATGCTCGACATCACAAATCATCAGGGAAATGCAAATTAAAACCACAATGAGATATCATCTCACACCTGTCAGAATGGCTAAAATAAAAAACACAAGAAATAACAAGTGTTGGTGAGGATATGAAGAAAAAAAGGAACCCTTGTGCATGGTTGGTGGGAATGCACAGTGGTGCAGCCACTGTGGAAAACAGTATGGTGGTTCCTTAAAAAAATAAAAATAAAATTACCACATGATCCAGTAATTCCACTACTGGGCATTTATCCAAAGAAAATGAAAACACTAATTCAAAAAGATACATGTACCCCTACGTTTACTGTAGTATTATTTACAATAGCCAAGATATGGAAGCAATCCCAGTGTCCATTAATAGGTGAATGGATACAGAAGATCTGGTATATATACATACAATAGAATATTATTCAGCCATAAAAAAAAAGAATGAAATCTTGCCATTTGCAATAATATGGATGGACGCAGAAGGTATAATGCTTAGTGAAATAAGTCAGCCAGAGAAAGACATATCCCGTATGATTTCACTCATATGTGGAATTTAAGAAATGAAACAAGTGAACAAAGCAAAAAGAGAGAGAACAAAAAAACCCAGACTCTTAACTACAAAGAACAAACTGATGGTTACCAGAGGGGAGGTGGGTGGAGGGGGGACGGGTGAAATAGGTGAAGAGGATTAAGAATATGCATATCTTGGGGCGCCTGGGTGGCTCAGTCGGTTGGGCGTCCGACTTCGGCTCAGTTCATGATCTCGCGGTCTGTGAGTTCGAGCCCTGCATCGGGCTCTGCGCTGACAGCTCGGAGCCTGGAGCCTGCTTTGGATTCTGGGTCTCCCTCTCTCTCTGCCCCTCCCCCACTCACACTCTGTCTCTATCAAAAAATGAATAAACGTTAAAAAAATTTAAAAAAAGAATATGCATATCTTGATGAACACTGAATAATGTACAGAATTGTTGAATCGGACATGTATTGTTCACCTGAAACTAATACAACCCTGTATATTAATTATACCTAAATAAAATTAATAAAATAAAAGAGAAAAGAGAAAAGAAAAGTGCATTATGTTGTTGGGTATTCTGTAAATGTCATTTAGGTCAGGCGCATTAGTAATATTGTTCATATGTTTTGTATCATTACTGTTATATCAATTTTTGAATTGATTTTATTATATCACTTATTCAGAAGGACTGAGGTCTGCAACTTTAATTTTAGATTTGTCAATTTCTCCTTTCAATACTTGCCACTTTTGCTTCAAGTATCTTGAAGCTATTTTGTGAGTCCAAGTCCATACACATTTGATTTTTATGTCTTTCTGATGAGTTAGACTATCATTATGAAGTGTTCCTCTTCATTTCTGGTAATATTATTTTTTCTGAGTCTACTTTGTCTGATAATAATATGTCCACTCCAGCTCTCTTACGGTTAATGTTTGCAGGTGTAAATGTTTTATCCTCACACTTCTAATCTCAGATTTTATATTTTAAGCGGGTTTCGTATAGAAAGCATCTAGTTCACTCTTGGTTTTTTATCATGTCTAACAATCTGCAAATTAAAGAGGAGGGTTTAAGCCATTTATACCTCATGTAATTATCAACATGATTAAGTATGAAACTATTATCTTGCAATTTCCCCCTCTATTTATCCCATATGTTCTTTGTTCTCTTTTCCCTCTGCTTCCGTCTTCTTTTGATTAATGGAATCGGTTTTAGTATTCCGCTGTTGTTCCAGCTTTAACTATGTTACTTTTATGTTTTTTAGTGATTTTTATGGTCTAACCTATGCGTCTTTAACCTAACACATTCTTCTCTCAAATAATATTGCACCACTTCTCCGATAATGTAATAACTTTATAATACAACAATACACTTCCATTTAATTCTCCCCCCCATTGTGCTACTTTTGAGATTATATATATATATATATTCTATGCATATATAGAGAATATATTCTATGCATATATGGAGAATATATTTTATATATTCTGCATGTTTTAAAATTCATTGCATTTTTGCTTTACATAATTTATCTTTCTTCCTTGTCAACATCACTGAGGATAATTTATTTTACGACAGACTGCATTCATTCAAAGCATGCCATTTAAAGAGTTTTGACGACTGTAAATACCCATAATACTAGAGTCAAGCTACAGAACATTTCCAACACCTTCCAAAAAAAAATGCTTCATGTCTTTTTTGCAGTCCATCCTTTCCTTGATCCCCATTCTCCAGCCAACCACTAACCTGCTGCTTGTCG